CGATACGATGTGTACTTGAGCAGCTGCACCAAGATGTCATGGTAGGAACCATGCGATACGGTCAGTGAAGTGTCCCACTGTCCGGATCGCATGGTTCCTCAATGACATCTTGGTGCAGCTGCTCAAGTACACATCGTATCGCCTTACTGACACCCAGACTTCAGACCATTTTCAAGCACTGCAGATTAACAGTGCTTGCGTTATTGAGTCATTCGACGTAGAATTTCTGTACACGAACGTAAGCAATGTGTCTGCTATGGAAGCCATATTGGAACTCCCAAGTCAGCACCAGGGCAAGAATAACATGCATGTCAGCCAGCTGATGGGGCAAGGAATGCCTCAACTATAACATTTTTGGGTGGTCATTAGTAGATATTTTGCGCACACCAGCGGCCTAGCTACTGGTGCTCACGCCATTGCCTTAATGTAGGCGCCTGCTTCTTTACTGCCGTTTTATCGATGACTGCCTGATTTGGTTTACTCAACAACAGCTGGATGCCTGCTCATCTCGCAATCTAAGCACATAAGAGTGTTGGGAAAGAACCGTCAGAAACCTGGCTCCCTTTACTGAGCATTCAGGTGGATGTTAAGCGCTGTTCTTAGGAATATGTTCCGAATAGCAGCACACGTCTGCTAGGGAAATGAGGAGCGGAAGGAGTTCTTGAAAATGGCGCGCGATATAGCTGTACAAGATTGCTATGAGACCTTCAACCTCCCACAAAGCCAGAAGTGGTGGGGCTGACAGCAGACGCTTTGGTAGCTTGATAAGCGTCACCCTTTCATGTCGCCACTCGTATCCGATAAGGTGGGCTCTCCTGTCAAGAGGTTTGTGAAAAGGAGAAGGTTTGGATAAAGTTGTAGACATCGCAAATGTAACACCCATAAATTGAAGCACCTCCTGGTGAAGAATCTGTTATACGACCGTCTATCCACAACCAAACTGTGTGGTCTGCCCGGCCGGCAAAGACGGCGATTGTGCTGTGTATTACAAGACCACCTGTAGTGGCTTTGGGGACCAATATAAGGACAAAGAGTTGCTCCGCTTTGCGCGAAAATGAAAGAGCATCTGAAGGGCAAGACGTGGTCGCCCTTGAATACCGTGGGAGCCCATAGGGTTCAAATCCATAACGGTGAAGATTATGGATTGAATTTTGATTGCCTTGAACCTCGACGCAGGGCACAAACCTCCGCGCGAAAAGCCTCCAAAGCGTTTTGGACTGAAGTCACTAATCCAAAGATGAAGCGAATGGAGTAGTGCCTCACTCTTATGCTGGAGATGAAAAACTATGAAAGACTGGCCTTCCACAATGTAAACTGAACGAAGAACAGTCCGACTTGGTTCAACTGCCGGCTTCCTCTGGTCTCGAGGATCGGACTGGTAAGTGGCCTTTCTCGTGAATGGGTGATGATCAGTTTTCATGTCTACTTCAGTTGGGTAGCACAGACGTTTGGTCACATGGTCACAAATCGCTTTGATACTGTCGAGCCCTGATGAAGGTGGTTCCTCCGAAGCGTACGCGACCCGACAGAGTGTTTCACCTATCTCGCGAGAGCTCAACAAAAGATGACCTACACATCTCAAGCTCCGTTGTCAGAAAAAACAGTAGATAAAACACTCTGAGAGCTAAAAAAGTTGAAGGCTGCCGGGACGCAGTTTGAGGACTTTGACTGCCTCACGGAAGAGCAACACCAATCACTTCGTGACTCGAGCGATTCCATGCTCCTTCTGTTTCTCAGCTGAACCAGGTAAGTGTCGTACCTTTGTTTTACACCGCAGAACCGGTTTACATTTGTTGTACTAGAGGCGAAATACGATGTGAGATACATAAAAGCCAAGGAGAGCAAGCAAATCATGAAACACCCACAGGCAGCTGTGTAGTGCATTGTTGGTGTAGCATAAAGTCTATAATAAGTTGTATTAGAGAAGAGAAACATAGAGCTGAGGCTGATGATCGTAATGTGAAGTGGTATTGGTAACAATTTACTAGTCAATCTTACCGGTACTTGACGAAAAAGAGCACCGCGAAGACTCTTTCGACTGACATCACAAGCATTGTCAGCGAGACAAGTTCAGTCCCAACAATTCTGAATAATATATAGCCTTTGACGGTGCAACTCCATCGAGCAATACCTTAAGCAGCTTCATTCATTCCAGAATGAACGTCCGACCCACTGACGGGAGCGGGCTCACTGCCTTTTAAATCTAATGTTATGAAGTGTGTTACCCATTTTATCGACGATCTTAACACTTCTGCGTCCTGCGTTGATGAACAGGACGCTGTCTCCAAAGCTCCATTTTCAGTCTAAGTGGCACAGCATTGCCTCTGCTTTGACCCTTTGAATTTCTGCGCTGGACAGCGGGTTCTCGGTCGCACACCTACCATTTAACCCTAGCACTCTCAGTGTTCTTCTAGCAATCCATTTGCTGAGATTTGTCTCATCAATGCTATTGAACTTGGCTTTGAAGTCGACGCATGTGGACTCGGAATCGCCTGCGAGCGGTGGTTGGCGCGTTCCTAGCGAAAAGCTGTCAGATATGCTCCAGTGGTCTTTCAAACGTTGATTGTAGTGTTAATGTTGTGACCGCGATAGCACTGTGCGTCTAGGACCTTTCAAATATTCGGGAAAGGGCGCGCCTTTATGCTGAAATTTTCCACCTTCATTTCAACTTTCTTGTGTGCGAGGTTCCAGTCCTCTTTTCAGTCACTGGAAGGAGCAGAATCCCATTGTGGCACCAGAAAGAATGTCATAGAACTCTTTAAAACACTGAAAAACGAGTTTTTGGACTCTGCTTAAGAAAGACAGCTGAGGTACCGTCAGAAGACGTCGTAATTGTCGCTGGTGACCTTAACGGGCACGTAGGCGCAACGAAAGACGGTTACAATTGTCATGGTGGCTTCGGTTATGGAACACGTAACGTCGATGGCGAACGCATCCTGGAATATGCAGAAGCCCATAATCTCGCCCCCCCCCCCCCCCCCCCCCCCCCCCCCCCCCCCCCCCCCCCCCCCCCCCCCCCCCCCCCCCCCCCCCCCCCCCCCCCCCCCCCCCCCCGGGAAACACAGTCGTG